TATTGGACAAGAAAGGGTTGAGACGTATGGACAAGAAAGGGTTTGAGACGTTATGGACAGAAAGGGTTGAGACGTATGGACAAGAAAGGGTTGAGCCGTATGGACAAGAAAGGGTTGAGACGTACACTTCATGACCAAGAAAGGGTTGAGCCGTACTGGACAAGAAAGGGTTGAGACGTATGGACAAGAAAGGGTTGAGACGTATGGACAAGAAAGGGTTGAGACGTATGGACAAGAAAGGGTTGAGACGTATGGACAAGAAAGGGTTGAGACGTATGGACAAGAAAGGGTTGAGACGTATGGACAAGAAAGGGTTGAGCCGTATGGACAAGAAAGGGTTGAGACGTATGGACAAGAAAGGGTTGAGCCGTATGGACAAGAAAGGGTTGAGACGTATGGACAAGAAAGGGTTGAGACGTATGGACAAGAAAGGGTTGAGACGTATGGACAAGAAAGGGTTGAGACGTATGGACAAGAAAGGGTTGAGACGTATGGACAAGAAAGGGTTGAGACGTATGGACAAGAAAGGGTTGAGACGTATGGACAAGAAAGGGTTGAGACGTATGGACAAGAAAGGGTTGAGACGTATGGACAAGAAAGGGTTGAGACGTATGGACAAGAAAGGGTTGAGACGTATGGACAAGAAAGGGTTGAGACGTATGGACAAGAAAGGGTTGAGACGTATGGACAAGAAAGGGTTGAGACGTATGGACAAGAAAGGGTTGAGACGTATGGACAAGAAAGGGTTGAGACGTTATGGACAAGAAAGGGTTGAGACGTATGGACAAGAAAGGGTTGAGACGTATGGACAAGAAAGGGTTGAGACGTATGGACAAGAAAGGGTTGAGACGTATGGACAAGAAAGGGTTGAGACGTATGGACAAGAAAGGGTTGAGACGTATGGACAAGAAAGGGTTGAGACGTATGGACAAGAAAGGGTTGAGACGTATGGACAAGAAAGGGTTGAGACGTATGGACAAGAAAGGGTTGAGACGTATGGACAAGAAAGGGTTGAGACGTATGGACAAGAAAGGGTTGAGACGTATGGACAAGAAAGGGTTGAGACGTATGGACAAGAAAGGGTTGAGACGTATGGAAAAGAAGACAAGGGTTGAGACGTATGGACAAGAAAGGGTTGAGACGTATGGACAAGAAAGGGTTGAGACGTATGGACAAGAAAGGGTTGAGACGTATGGACAAGAAAGGGTTGAGCCGTATGGACAAGAAAGGCTTGAGACGTATGGACAAGAAAGGGTTGAGCCGTATGGACAAGAAAGGGTTGAGACGTATGGACAGAAAGGGTTGAGCCGGTATGGACAAGAAAGGGTTGAGACGTATGGACAAGAAAGGGTTGAGACGTATGGACAAGAAAGGGTTGAGACGTATGGACAAAGAACAGGGTTGGAGACGTATGGACAAGAAAGGGTTGAGGACGTATGGACAAGAAAGGGTTGAGACGTTATGGCCAAGAAGGTGTTGAGAGCGTATGGACAAGAAAGGGTTGAGACGTATGGACAAGAAAGGGTTGAGACGTATGGACAAGAAAGGGTTGAGACGTATGCGACAAGAAGGGTTGAGACGGCTTATGGACAAGAATAGTGTGTTGAGGGACGTATGGACAAGAAGGGTTGAAGGACGTATGGACAAGAAAGGCTTGAGACGTATGGACAAGAAAGGGTTGAGACGTATGGACAAGAAAGGGTTGAGACGTATGGACAAGAAAGGGTTGAGACGTCTATGGGACAAGAAAGGGTTGAGACGTATGGACAAGAAAGGGTTGAGACGTATGGACAAGAAAGGGTTGAGACGTATGGACAAGAAAGGGTTGAGACGTATGGACAAGAAAGGGTTGAGACGTATGGACAAGAAAGGGTTGAGACGTATGGACAAGAAAGGGTTGAGCCGTATGGACAAGAAAGGGTTGAGACGTATGGACAAGAAAGGGTTGAGCCGTATGGACAAGAAAGGGTTGAGACGTATGGACAAGAAAAGCCGTATGGGTTGAGACGTATGGACAAGAAAGGGTTGAGACGTATGGACAAGAAAGGGTTGAGACGTATGGACAAGAAAGGGTTGAGACGTATGGACAAGAAAGGGTTGAGACGTATGGACAAGAAAGGGTTGAGACGTATGGACAAGAAAGGGTTGAGACGTATGGACAAGAAAGGGTTGAGACGTATGGACAAGAAAGGGTTGAGACGTATGGACAAGAAAGGGTTGAGACGTATGGACAAGAAAGGGTTGAGACGTTATGGACAAGAAAGGGTTGAGACGTATGGACAAGAAAGGGTTGAGACGTATGGACAAGAAAGGGTTGAGACGTATGGACAAGAAAGGGTTGAGACGTTATGGACAAGAAAGGGTTGAGACGTATGGACAAGAAAGGGTTGAGACGTATGGACAAGAAAGGGTTGAGACGTTATGGACAAGAAAGGGTTGAGACGTATGGACACAGAAAGGGTTGAGACGTATGGACAAGAAAGGGTTGAGACGTTCATGGACAAGAAAGGGTTGAGACGTATGGACAAGAAAGGGTTGAGACGTATGGACAAGAAAGGGTTGAGACGTATGGACAAAGAAAGGGTTGAGACGTATGGACAAGAAAGGGTTGAGACGTATGGACAAGAAAGGGTTGAGACGTATGGACAAGGAAAGGGTTGAGACGTATGGACAAGAAAGGGTTGGACGTATGGACAAGAAAGGGTTGAGAACGTATGGACAAGAAAGGTTGAGACGTATGGACAAGAAAGGGTTGAGGACGTATGGACAAGAAAGGGTTGATAACGTATGGACAAGAAAGGAGTGAGACGTATGGACAAGAAAGGGTTGAGACGTATGGACAAGAAAGGGTTGAGACGTATGGACAAGAAAGGTTGAGACGTATGGACAAGAAAGGGTTGGAGACGTATGGGACAGGTGACGTATGGACAAGAAAGGGTTGAGACGTATGGACAAGAAAGGGTTGAGACGTATGGACAAGAAAGGGTTGAGACTTTGCACGAGGTTGGACGTATGGACAAGAAAGGGTTGAGACGTATGGACAAGAAAGGGTTGAGACGTATGGACAAGAAAGGGTTGAGACGTATGGACAAGAAAGGGTTGAGACGTATGGACAAGAAAGGGTTGAGACGTATGGACAAGAAAGGGTTGAGACGTATGGACAAGAAAGGGTTGAGACGTATGGACAAGAAAGGGTTGAGACGTATGGACAAGAAAGGGTTTGAGCCGTATGGACAAGAAAGGCTTGAGACGTATGGACAAGAAAGGGTTGAGCCGTATGGACAAGAAAGGGTTGAGACGTATGGACAAGAAAGGGTTGAGCCGTATGGACAAGAAAGGGTTGAGACGTATGGACAAGAAAGGGTTGAGACGTATGGACAAGAAAGGGTTGAGACGTATGGACAAGAAAGGGTTGAGACGTATGGACAAGAAAGGGTTGAGACGTATGGACAAGAAAGGGTTGAGACGTATGGACAAGAAAGGGTTGAGACGTATGGACAAGAAAGGGTTGAGACGTATGGACAAGAAAGGGTTGAGACGTATGGACAAGAAAGGGTTGAGACGTATGGACAAGAAAGGGTTGAGCCGTATGGACAAGAAAGGCTTGAGACGTATGGACAAGAAAGGGTTGAGCCGTATGGACAAGAAAGGGTTGAGACGTATGGACAAGAAAGGGTTGAGCCGTATGGACAAGAAAGGGTTGAGACGTATGGACAAGAAAGGGTTGAGATGTATGGACAAGAAAGGGTTGAGACGTATGGACAAGAAAGGCTTGAGACGTATGGACAAGAAAGGGTTGAGCCGTATGGACAAGAAAGGGTTGAGACGTATGGACAAGAAAGGGTTGAGCCGTATGGACAAGAAAGGGTTGAGACGTATGGACAAGAAAGGGTTGAGACGTATGGACAAGAAAGGGTTGAGACGTATGGACAAGAAAGGGTTGAGACGTATGGACAAGAAAGGGTTGAGACGTATGGACAAGAAAGGGTTGAGACGTATGGACAAGAAAGGGTTGAGACGTATGGACAAGAAAGGGTTGAGACGTATGGACAAGAAAGGGTTGAGACGTATGGACAAGAAAGGGTTGAGACGTATGGACAAGAAAGGGTTGAGACGTATGGACAAGAAAGGGTTGAGACGTATGGACAAGAAAGGGTTGAGACGTATGGACAAGAAAGGGTTGAGACGTATGGACAAGAAAGGGTTGAGACGTATGGACAAGAAAGGGTTAAGACGTATGGACAAGAAAGGGTTGAGACGTATGGACAAGAAAGGGTTGAGACGTATGGACAAGAAAGGGTTGAGACGTATGGACAAGAAAGGGTTGAGACGTATGGACAAGAAAGGGTTGAGATGTATGGACAAGAAAGGGTTGAGACGTATGGACAAGAAAGGGTTGAGACGTATGGACAAGAAAGGGTTGAGACGTATGGACAGGAAAGGGTTGAGACGTATGGACAAGAAAGGGTTGAGACGTATGGACAAGAAAGGGTTGAGACGTATGGACAAGAAAGGGTTGAGACGTATGGACAAGAAAGGGTTGAGACGTATGGACAAGAAAGGCTTGAAGGGACAAGAAGAGAACCCCGAGATTGAAAAGCGTGTAGTGAGTCGATTTTTGAGTCGACTCAAAAATAGAACCCCGAGATTGAAAAGAAGAACATGAAGGCTTTGACCAGAAAGGTGCTGCTCCTGAGAAGACGAAATACAGCAAGGACGGACGGGAAGCAGGGTGGTTTTGAGAATTCTCAAAACCGCCGTGCAGCACAGCAAAGAGAGGCGGGTCAGCAGCAGCAAAAAGGTGCTGTTCCTGAGGGGAATGCAGGAAGTGTGACAGCAGAGACGTGGTCGAATGGCTATGAAACATACCCAACGGCCAACAAGAGGTCATAGAAGGAACTTACTTACTTCCAAGGCAGAGCAACGGCAGGAAGGAGTTGGTTTTTGAGAATTCTAAAAAACACATCAGAGGCATGCCCAATTGCCAACAAGCGACTTACTTATGGCTCTGGAGATGCTCCCAAGGCAGAGCAGCGGCAGGAAGGCGGAGGGCACGAGGGGCGAGAGCAGATCCAGAAGCATCCCTGGTCGGCAATGCGGAAATGAGAGGGGAGGGAGTGGGAGGGAGGGAGAGAGAGAAAGAGGGGGGGGGAGGGGGAGAGGGAGAGAGGGAAGGAGGGAGGGCGGGAGAGGGAAGAGAGGCGATGACTGTGGGGGAAGAGATTTGGAGAGTGAAGGAAGCAAGATGTTGAGATGAGGATTTATGAGAAGCTGGAAAGTAGAGGAAAGGGAAACGGAAGCTGGGCATAGTCAGGAGGCAAGGAGAGGTGTGTAACGGGGAGAGCACACAAATAGAATATAGAAGGCAAAGCAAAGAGAGCGAGCGAGCGAGCACACAGAGAACTAGTAGCGCACCGACATCATTGATGACGTCAGCAGCCAGCCTCCACTGCTTGGCATTGCTGTCGAGATTCGATCCCTGCATGCAGCCACAGAGAAGGTTTGGATTAGGGTTTTGGCAGTCACAGGTTTGCAACGTGGGGGTTTGGGGTGTTTGGGGTTCAAGACTTGCAATACGGGAGTCACAAGAAGAAGGGCTAATGATTTGTTAATAAAGCGTGTGACAATATTGGAGAGTAATGTGGATTGCATATGAAAATAACCAGTAAGTGAGTAGTGTCAAAAGTGTGGGCCAGATGAGAGTTCCATAGAATCAAAATTGAAAATTGTATTCTATTTAGGAGACGGTAACGAAATATACAAATAATCACCTTCACTGAGCCGTTAGTGTACCTTGTACATGGCGAAGAGAATGCCTCCAAGCATGCCTGTGAAGTCACGCACGAACCACTGCGTGCATCGAAGCAGGGGGCAGCAGGTGAGAGTGAGAGAACTGAAAGCAGATCTACAGGAGAAGAACGAAAAAAAAAAAAAAAAAGAGGGGAGGGAGGGAGGGCCGAACGAGGAGGTATTCGTGATGTGACTGAATGAAACTGCAGGGTGCAAATGATACTTGTGGAAGTGCAAGGAGCAGTTGAAGCCTTAGTGCCTGACCTGGAACGTGGCACTGATGGCCGACGCGGATGCCCGACCCACTCCCAGCCCTGCCAGCAGCACCTGGGAGGACCCAGGGCACGAAAGAGAGAGGGGGGGGGGGGGAGGGGGGGGGGGTGATGGTAGGTTGTCATTGAGAATCCTCAGAATCAACCTACAACAAAGAGGCCAATGCCTGGCCCACTCCCAGCACTGCCAGCAGCACCTGGGAGGACGCAGGGCAGGAAAGAGAGGGGGGGGGGGGGGGGGGGTGATGGTAGGTTGTCATTGAGAATCCTCAGAATCAACCTACAACAAAGAGGCCAATGCCTGGCCCACTCCCAGCCCTGCCAGCAGCACCTGGGAGGACGCAGGGCAGGAAAGAGAGGGGGGGGGGGGGGGGGGGGGGGGGTGATGGTAGGTTGTCATTGAGAATCCTCAGAATCAACCTACAACAAAGAGGCCAATGCCTGGCCCCACTCCCAGCCCTGCCAGCAGCACCTGGGAGGACGCAGGGCAGGAAAGAGAGGGGGGGGGGGGGGGGGTGATGGTAGGTTGTCATTGAGAATCCTCAGAATCAACCTACAACAAAGAGGCCAATGCCTGGCCCACTCCCAGCCCTGCCAGCAGCACCTGGGAGGACGCAGGGCAGGAAAGAGAGGGGGGGGGGGGGGGGGGGGGGGGGGGGTGATGGTAGGTTGTCATTGAGAATCCTCAGAATCAACCTACAACAAAGAGGCCAATGCCTGGCCCACTCCCAGCCCTGCCAGCAGCACCTGGGAGGACCCAGGGACAAACGAAGCAAGAAGGAGTGGGCGATTTTGAGGCGCCTGAAAAACCATCTCATCTCATGACCAGAAGCAGCACCTGGGAGGCCGCAGGTAAGGAAGATATGGAGTGAGGCTAAAGAAGAGAGCAGAGAGGCAGGGAGGCGGAGACGAAGGAAGGGAGGGAGGAATAGAGGTGGAGGAAGAAAAATGCCGCCCATGTAAATGTACCTGCGTGGATAGCATGCTGCGTATATATGTCGATAGTCCCTGCAATACAAGGGGGAATGGGGGTGGGGCGGAGAAGGGGAGATGCGGAGGAGAGAAGCTGGAATGATGAGACAAGACGGGGGGGTGGTATGATGGTGGTAGGTGTGCACAGATCACTGATGGCCGGCAACAAGAGAGCCCATGAGCAGGAAGCATGGATACGGACGAAATGAGAAGAGGCATCAGTGGCACTGGTGAGATAAAAGGTCAGGCGACATCATGTGAATCATGGCGACCACGTGGGTCATGGTAACCACGTGGGTCATCACGTCTAACAACCCTTGGGGCGAGTTACAATCACCTGTAGGGTGTCCCACGTTTGAAACGCCAGGTAGTCATCTGTAACACTCTCAGGGTAACCCTGCCACAGCAAACAAAACAGCAAAAGGAAGGAGAAGGAAGCAATGCAAAGGATACCTTTGGATTAACGCACTAAATAAGAACCTTTGCCCCATCACGGGCGTCTAGTATGCATCTGACCGCACACACGTGACCTGAGACACAACCTTACTGACACGTGCGTGCATGTGGCATTAATACGACTGGTGAGACAAAAGCACAAGGTTGTGTGGGATTTGAAGACTCTATCCTGGTGAGGAACTCGCTTCTCCTGCTCCTCTTTTTCTTTCCTGGCAGCACAGACACCTTTCCCTTCACTCTCCTCCTCCCCTCTCCGCGCACCTCTGGCAGGAACGCCCCGCGCAGTGTGCGCGTGAGGGAGCCCAGCGAGCCACTGCCGCGCGCTGACCTGGGGAAACGGCGGAGCGCGGAGGATAGGGCGCCGGGAAACGGCCGGGCGGAGAAGGCGCAAGCGACCCTTGAGTTAACTCCGAAGTTAAGAGTTACGGCGCGGGGGAATGGCAGGAAGGAAAACGCACAAGAGAGACCACAGACAGGGCAGCGTAAACCGTTTGGCGTCCGCGAAAGCTGCAGTCGACAAGCAGTCTAATCGAACCCGACGTGAGAGAGCAGCGAGACGCGCTACGAACGTACACTGAGTTGACTTTGAGTCGACTCAAAAGCCACCTCAGTCGACAAGCAATCCTGATCGAACCCGACGTGAGGGAGTCACGAGGCGCTACGAACGTACAATCACGCGAAACGAGCAGCGACACGCTATAAAAGGCGATTCTATGCGAGCTGGGGGGCGAGGCGCACTTGAGAACGCGAATGGACGATGGCGGGTCCATGAGACCAGCGAGTGCCGCAGGCACCCTGCCGGTCCTGCTGCCATCCGCACCGCCGCCGCCGCTGCCGCTGGTGTTGGTCTCCTCGACCCAAATAGCTGTACGTGACGCATTCGGACCGCGGCGGAAGACCTCCTCTATAAGCACATCTCCGGTTAGCGAACCGTCATGTTTCGTGCTTTCCGCCATCACGTCAGCGAAACTCTCGTTGCTTGAAAAACTGTAACGACGAACGGGCAATGGTTGATGTATTTCCAACAATGGATTTATTCCAAATTTCAGGCATTGAGGTTCGAGTTGATGACTTTTGAATTGAGCGTGAATAGGGCTACCTGCATTGTTTTAATCGCACATTTTGTGAACTACTTTAATCACTTACAGAAACTCTGGTGCCTGATTTCGGGTCATGAACTCAAAAGTGTTTCGTCTAGCCAGAATGAGGTCACTCACTAACTACTAGCCTGAAGTGGCCCAGCTATTTAGCTGGTTCACTTCCGAAAGATGAAGTCCCAGGATCAAATCCCCCCTGCGGCGTTTACAGCTAGCCCCCACTAAAAGGGGCTACACAGGTGCTCATCTGGGAGTGGATAGAACAACCTCGTTACCCAGCGAGGCGTGTAAACAAATGGGGAGGCGGGTTACGACCGGCAGCCGGGGTAATACCAAAGGGGATTCCCCCTTATAACCTTTACCTTGACCTCACTCGCTAACTACTTGATTACAATTGCATTGCGGTTACAATTCGTCCCCCAACATACTTGGGGAGGCGAAACTCAAGGGAAGCCCCAATTTTGTCGCATAATTCGCGAAGCCCCAATTTTGTCGCACAATTCGCGAAGCCCCAATTTGATCGCATAACTCGCGAAGCCCCAATTTTGTCGCATAAATTGTTACTTCCGTAACCCACTCCTCCCCTGTGGCTCTCCAGCCTCCAACACTTCGTTCCTTGACCCCTCAACAACCCCCCACAAGCAACCATGAGTGAAAGCAGTGCTGTACATTTTCGCTAACTCAAACCTTATCAACTGCAAGTGCACCGAGTTTTGTGCAAGACCAATTATCCCATCGCCAACTACGATCAATCCGCTGATCGGCGCGAAATTTGGTGGCCGAATGCGAGCCGTGGTATGAATATGCGACTTTGAGCACCGCCGTGGCCTGAGTCTTAGCATGAATGCACGAGCCGCGTCCCAACGTTACTAGATCGATACATCTACGAATAACGTATCAATGAATGCATGACTTCATGGGTGCATGAATGCGCTGGCTGGACTGACGCGAGCGCAATGATGGCGAGAATCTATTTTTGAGTCGACTAGAAAACAAACGCGCAGGACTGACGGGGCGCCATGATGGCGAGAATCTGTTTTTGAGTCGACTAGAAAACAAACGCGCAGGGCTGACGGGGGCGCCATGATGGCGAGAAGGTCCTCGTCGCGGGGAGGGCAAGCCGGCTCCTTCCCCGTGGCTCTGTCCGCGGAGCATCGCGGGAGCTTCCGCGCGGACGACGCCGAGCGCAAGGCGCACCACCCCTCCCTCCACAAGATCCCCCGCGGCGCGCGGGTCGTTCTTTTAGCAGGCACCGTTATAGTCACGCTCCTCGGTTTTGCCGCGTTCGCATTATCTGGGTCCTTCCGCCAAGCCCTGCTGAGTCAGCTCCGCCCATCTTCCGCCACTCCTTCCGCCGACCTCGCGCTCGAGATCGACTCCGCAGCTGTGGCCCGTGCGGATGCGCAGGTGGCGGAGGAGAGGGGCGCAGTGGAAGGGGAAGGTACCCAAGCGAAAGGAGAGGGCGGAGCGGAAGGGGAAGGCGGAACAGAAGGAGAGCAGCAAGGGGATGCGGCGGAAGATGGGAAAGACGGGTCGCGCGGGAATGAGGCCAGGCGGAGGAAGAACAGGGGGAAGCGGAGGAGGAGGCGGAGGGTGGTTCGGGGCGATCGCGACAAGTGGGTTACCGAGTTACGGAAGAAGCCGTCGTGGCGAATCGTCAGTGGCTTCCAGGTGGGTGCTGCTTGCTCGATGTTGAAAGCGCTTTTGGACCTTCAATCTGCTCACCTCTGCTCACCTGCTCACCTCTGCTCACCTCTGCTCACCTCTGCTCACCTCTGCTCACCTCTGCTCACCTCTGCTCACCTCTTCTCACCTCTGCTGAACAATCACCTGGGTTGACGGGTGTGTTAAATCAATGGGCTAGCAAGAGAACCCACAATCACGACTCAGACTCATACCCACACTCCCCTCATGTGCTCGTTTGTGTTACATTCTGAGTCTTCTCAACGTCCACTCTCTGGCCCTCCCATTCCTGATCATTCAGTCCCTCCTCGTCCAACCCCTAACTGTCCAATCCCTGGTCGTCCAATCCGTATTCCCCCGACCTCTGGAATTTTTCTTGAGGCGTCTAAGAATTGGCTGGTGCGACTGGCTCGCTCCTGGCCCCTACCCACCTACCTACCAGGGCGTGCCAGCAACTCATCTCATCGCCGACTCAAACTCCCTCACCTGTGCCCTCGTGGTCAGATCCCTAGCTGTGCAATCCCTAATCTTCCCATCTTTGGTCTCATTTTTCAACATCCACACCCCTGCGCCCTACCTACCTACCTACCTACCTACCTACCTACCTACCTACCTACTGACCAGGGCGTGCCAGCAACTCATCTCATTGCGGATTCAGACTCCCTCGCCTGTGCCCTCGTGGTGCGCCGCGCCTGCCACTTCTGGTCGCCCATCGGCCTCCCCACCCCCTCTTCCTCTGCCACTGCTGCTGGTGACGGTGCTGCTGATACTGCTGATGGTGGTGCCAGTAGTGGCAGTGGGAGTAAAGCCACCACGACCCACGGGCACTACAGTGGGTACTGGTACAGCATGGACGGCAGGGACTTGTCTCTTCTGCGCTCCAATGATGACGTGTGCGGCCACGGAACCAGGCAACTCCCCAAGCCTTTTTCGCCCAAGAGATTCGGCACCACGGACAAGTGCGTGTGTTGTGGCTGAGTGTGTATTTCGTGGGTTGTGTGCGTTCTGATAGGTAAGCTGCGATGAACTAAGCCTTTCAATAAGCTGCAAGTGGGCAGCAGGTGGGCGGCAGGTGGGCGGCAGGTGGGCGGCAGATGCAATGACGAAATGCTCTGTTCTGCATCCTTTAAACACTTGCACAAGTGCAAGGCAATGCAAGCTAGTCTTCGTCATGCTGTTCTTAACGGTCAACAAGCAAACCTGCACCATGTGCTTGAGCTGATATGTTCCTGTTGTTGGCAAACCTGCACCTAAACCTGCACCATCACATTGTTGTGATGGCATGATGGGATGGTGGCAGGATTCAGGAGAAGATGGGCATATTCCTGTCAGCAGAGCAGCGTGATCAAATACTGCAGCAGCAATGCAACCTGGGCCACAAGGTGATACCTTTTCCTTATTAGAAAAAATAAATAAATTAGCAGTTATTTTCGGGAGACAAGGTGATGGTACCCCGTTGCCTCTTTTCCCATTCCTCTTTCTCCCATCACCCTTTGTCCCCCACTCCCTGCCCTCCCCGACATTTGCCTTACTCCTCCTGGTCCACCCAATTTATTCATCCTCCCATCCATGTCTCTGTTTCATCCTCCCATCCATGTCTCTGTTTCATCCTCCCATCCATGTCTCTGTTTCATTCGCCTCCTCACCCCACCTTCACCGCCCTCACCTCCCGTTCTAAACTGGTAACCACGTGTCCACATACCCGTCTGCGCCCTAGCCTTGCTATCAGCTCACTCACCCACGCCCTACCACGGCCTACCGCGCCCTCCCAGACCCTACCACGCCCTCCCACACCCTCCCACGCCCTCCCACGCCCTCCCTCCCTCCCTTTCTCTCTTCCCCCCACCCCCCCCATCCCCTCTCCCCCCCCACCCCCCCCTCCCCCCCCATCCCCTCTCCCCCCCACCCCCCCCTCCCCCCCATCCCCTCTCCCCCCCACCCCCCCTCCCCCCCATCCCCTCTCCCTCCCTCGCCACCCCAGCCACCGGAGTGGGCAGATGTGACCTCCCCTGGGCGGCAGCTACCCAGGTACCGCCGGGCAGTGATGTCTCCGCACGACTCGTTCCTGGGCCACTTCTGGGAGCGCGTGGGCGTGCTGGCGGAGCTGCTTCTGGCCCTCCACTCCTCCCTCTCCCTCCCCCCGCCCTCCCCTCCCCCCTCCCCCTCTCCCCCTCCTCCACCTCGTACTTCTCGCTCCAGTGGGGATGGTCTAGGGGGTGGGGGGGAGGAGGGAGGGGAGGGGGTGGATGGGGAAGAGAGTAGTGGGGAGAATGGGGCGGCAAGAGGAGGCGAGGGAGAGGAGGAGGCAGGAGTGGGGGAAGGTGCAGAAGAGAGGGATGGGGTTGCTGTGTCTATCACTGCTTCTTCAACTGCTGGTGCAGATGGTGCTGCTGATGCTGGTGCAGATGGTGCTGCTGATGCTGCCTCGTTCCCCCCAGTGGTGCTGACTCCCTCGCCCCTCACGCACACTGCAGTGATGTTTGGCACCGACATTGATGGTACGGCATGGGGCCGTCCTGGTGGCATGGGGTGACGTGGCATGGGGTGACGTGGCATGAGATTGCATGGCATGGGACCATATGGTCTGCAGCCCTCACAGACACGAATGGTAGTGCATGGGCCGGACAAATACATCTCTAGCAATTCTCTCTCTGTCCTCCTTTGTGACTGCACCCTCCCTCTCGCCCAACCCGTTTCCCACCCACCATCCTCTCCGTCTCAAACTGAAATCGGCACGTTCACGTTTTGAGACGTCGGAGAAATCGGCACAATCACATGCAGTCCAAGCTTCTCTCTCTGACTTCTCTGCTCGTCCTTCGTCCTTTCATCACCCAAAACTAAGTTTCTCTCTGTTCCTTTTCTTTCCTACCACACCCCATCCCCTCCTGCCCCCTCCCATCCCCCACCATTCTCTCTGCGTGTAAAGTGAAGTCGGCACGTTCGCGGGCAATTTAAGCCGCATTCTCTTTGGCGCCGCCACGCCGCTCATTCCCGGTCGCCGCCTGCACTGGGGGGACGAGCCGCACCTGTGCTTCGGAGAGGTCATCTTTCCTCTGCACACCGCCTATTCCATGTGAGTGCAGAGCGTTGTGTGTGTGCTGCACATGTGGCACAGAGAACACACTCAGCACATGGTTTACCCTGTCTGTGTAAGCCTGCTGCCATCCACATCCACGTTCATTTCACCTGCCGCATTTCACCTGCCGCATTTCACCTGCCGCATTTCACCTGCCGCATTTCACCTGCCGCATTTCACCTGCCGCATTTCACCTGCCGCATTTCACCTGCCGCATTTCACCTGCCGCATTTCACCTGCCGCATTTCACCTGCCGCATTTCACCTGCCGCATTTCACCTGCCGCATTTCACCTGCCGCATTTCACCTGCCGCATTTCACCTGCCGCATTTCACCTGCCGCATTTCACCTGCCGCATTTCACCTGCCGCATTTCACCTGCCGCATTTCACCTGCCGCATTTCACCTGCCGCATTTCACCTGCCGCATTTCACCTGCCGCATTTCACCTGCCGCATTTCACCTGCCGCATTTCACCTGCCGCATTTTCACCTGCCGCATTTCACCTGCCGCATTTCACCTGCCGCATTTCACCTGCCGCATTTCACCTGCCGCATTTCACCTGCCGCATTTCACCTGCCGCATTTCACCTGCCGCATTTCACCTGCCGCATTTCACCTGCCGCATTTCACCTGCCGCATTTCACCTGCCGCATTTCACCTGCCGCATTTCACCTGCCGCATTTCACCTGCCGCATTTCACCTGCCGCATTTCACCTGCCGCATTTCACCTGCCGCATTTCACCTGCCGCATTTCACCTGCCGCATTTCACCTGCCGCATTTCACCTGCCGCATTTCACCTGCCGCATTTCACCCTGCCGCATTTCACCTGCCGCATTTCACCTGCCGCATTTCACCTGCCGCATTTCACCTGCCGCATTTCACCTGCCGCATTTCACCTGCCGCATTTCACCTGCCGCATTTCACCTGCCGCATTTCACCTGCCGCATTTCAACCTGCCGCATTCACCCATTCACCTGCCGCATTTCACCTGCCGCATTTCACGCTGCCGGGCATTTCACCTGCCCGCATTTCACCTGCCGCATTTCACCTGCCGCATTTCACCTGCCCGCATTTCACCTGCCGCATGTTCACCTGCCGCATTTCCAACCTGCCGCATTTCACCTGAAAAAACCAACAAAGCATTTCACCTGCCGCATTTCACCTGCACGCATTTCACCTGCCGCATTTCACCTGCCGCATTTCACCTGCCGCATTTCACCTGCCGCATTTCACCTGCCAGCATTTCACCTGCCGCATTTCACCTGCCGCATTTCACCTGCCGCATTTCACCTGCCCGCATTTCACCTGCCGCATTTCACCTGCCGCATTTCACCTGCCGCATTTCACCCTGCCCGCATTTCACCTGCCGCATTTCACCTGCGCATTTCACCTGCCGCATTTCACCTGCCGCATTTCACCTGCCGCATTTACACCTGCCGCATTTCACCTGCCGCATTTCACCTGCCGCATTTCACCTGCCGCATTTCACCTGCCGCATTTCACCTGCCGCATTTCACCTGCCGCATTTCACCTGCCGCATTTCACCTGCCGCATTTCACCTGCCGCATTTCACCTGCCGCATTTCACCTGCCGCATTTCACCTGCCGCATTTCACCTGCCGCATTTCACCTGCCGCATTTCACCTGCCGCATTTCACCTGCCGCATTTCACCTGCCGCATTTCACCTGCCGCATTTCACCTGCCGCATTTCACCTGCCGCATTTCACCTGCCGCATTTCACCTGCCGCATTTCACCTGCCGCATTTCACCTGCCGCATTTCACCTGCCGCATTTCACCTGCCGCATTTCACCTGCCGCATTTCACCTGCCGCATTTCACCTGCCGCATTTCACCTGCCGCATTTCACCTGCCGCATTTCACCTGCCGCATTTCACCTGCCGCATTTCACCTGCCGCATTTCACCTGCCGCATTTCACCTGCCGCATTTCACCTGCCGCATTTCACCTGCCGCATTTCACCTGCCGCATTTCACCTGCCGCATTTCACCTGCCGCATTTTCACCTGCCGCATTTCACCTGCCGCATTTCACCTGCCGCATTTCACCTGCCGCATTTCACCTGCCGGGGGGGCAATTTCACCTGCCGCATTAACCTGCAGCATGTTCACCTGCCGCATTCACCTGCCGCATTTCACCTGCCGCATTTCACCTGCCGCATTTCACCTGCCGCATTTCACCTGCCGCATTTCACCTGCCGCATTTCACCTGCCGCATTTCACCTGCCGCATTTCACCTGCCGCATTTCACCCGCCGCATTTCACCTGCCGCATTTCACCTGCCGCATTTCACCTGCCGCTCATTTCACCTGCCGCATTTCACCTGCCGCATTTCACCTGCCGCATTTCACCTGCCCGCATTTCACTGCGCATTTCACCTGCCGCATTTCACCTGCCGCATTTTCACCTGCCGCATTCACCTGCCGCATTTACAACCTGCCGCATTTCACCTGCCGCATTTCACCTGCCGCATTTCACCTGCCGCATTTCACCTGCCGCATTTCACCTGCCGCATTTCACCTGCCGCATTTCACCTGCCGCATTTCACCTGCCGCATTTCACCTGCCGCATTTCACCTGCCGCATTTCACCTGCCGTCATTTCAACTGCCGCATTTCACCTGCCGCATTTCACCTGCCGCATTTCACCTGCCGCATTTCACCTGCCGCCATTTCACCTGCCGCATCTTCACCTGCCGCATTTCACCTGCCGCATTTTCACCTGCCGCATTTCACCTGCCGCATTTCACCTGCCGCATTTCACCTGCCGCATTTCACCTGCCGCATTTCACCTGCCGCATTTCACCTGCCGCATTTCACCTGCCGCATTTCACCTGCCGCATTTCACCTGCTCCGCATTTCACCTGCCCGCATTTTCACCTGCCGCATTTCACCTGCCGCATTTCACCTGCCGCATTTCACCTGCCGCATTTCACCTGCCGCATTTCACCTGCCGCATTTCACCTGCCGCATTTCACCTGCCGCATTTCACCTGCCGCATTTCACCTGCCGCATTTCACCTGCCGCATTTCACCTGCCGCATTTCACCTGCCGCATTTCACCTGCCGCATTTCACCTGCCGCATTTCACCTGCCGCATTTCACCTGCCGCATTTCACCTGCCGCATTTCACCTGCCGCGTTTCACCTGCCGCGTTTCACCTGCCGCGTTTCACCTGCCGCGTTTCACCTGCCGCGTTTCACCTGCCGCATTTCACCTGCCGCATTTCACCTGCCGCATTTCAGATGCCGCATGCCGCACACGGTGGTGAATGAACCGCGCTTCACCTGCTGCCCTGCTGATTCGCGCCCCACTCACAGGAACGCCACAGAGTATGTGAGGAGGAAAGCGTATGCCTGGGCGGACGCTCGACTCACTGCTGCCGTCACTGGCGCCACGGCTGATGATACCGGTGATGCCGATGGTGCTGCTGGTGCTGCCACTGGTGCTGATGCTGGTGGGGACGAGGAGGAAGAGGCAGAGGACGGGGAGGAGGCAGAGCAGCAGCTGCAGCAGCGGAGGGAGGCGGAGGAGAAACGCAGAGAAGAGCAGCTGTCTAAGCTGCCCTCTCCGTTGCAGGTGAGTCGATTCATGCCATACCATCCCATGTCATGCCAGTCCATGCCATCCAATGCCATGCCATTCCGTGCCATCCCATGCCTTTCCCATTCCACGCCATGCCAGTCCATACCATCCAATGTCATCCCATGCCATGCCATGCAATCCCATGCCATGCCATGCCATGCCACATGGACTGGACCATGCTTCCTCCTGTCATCTAGCAATCTACTCTCCCCTCTTATTCCTAGTGACACCGGTTACGTGCTGCTTCTTCACCCCCTCCCGTGTGAAGACTCACTGCAAGTGACATTGCTGATATCCTGACTTTTATACCTTCACCTTCCCTCTGCAATCGATTGCAGGTGACGTGGCACTATTGGTTCAATTGAGGTGACTTCTGAAGTCACCACGACTTCATGTCACACCCATTGTGGTGTAAAATGATTGACATGAAGTCGTCACCCGTTGCAGGTGATGTGGTTGTGATCCTGACTTACAAATCTTATGCTCCCATCTGCTGTGTCTACTGCAGGTGACATGGCTGTACCGGTCCAATCGCCGCACCATCACGAACGTGGGAGACGTGCTGCAGCTGCTCACAGCGCACTTCCGCATGCCCATCCACATCATCGAACTCTCAGAATCTACACCGTAAGTGGTTGAAAAAATATTCGCTCATATGAAACATGTGTGGACTGAGACGCCTCAAGACGTCACATCATCAAATGCCGTAAGACCATTCCATCCCTGTCTCACTCCGTGCTGCTGCCACAGTTGCATTGTTTTTACATTGCACATTTTTTTCTTCCATCTCCCTGTGTCTGCCCTCAGACCCCAGTCTCACCTCACCCTCACCCTCACCCTAACCCTAACCCTCACCCTAACCCTCACCCTCACCCTCACCCTCACCCTAACCCTAACCCTCACCCTCACCCTCACCCTCACCCTAACCCACACCCTATCTCTCCCACACCCCATCACAGGTTCGACCAGGTGGTTCACACGATGCGCCACACAGCCTTTGCCATGGGCATGCACGGCTCTGCCCTCGCCAACCTCATCTTCCTGCCGTCAGGGGCCTCAGCCCTGGAGCTCATTCCCTACAAGTACCGCTACTTCCCCTACCTCTCCATCGCCCCCTTATTCAACATCAACTACCACCAATGGACCAATGAGAAGCGTGATTTTGCCTCGTTTGACGACGGGTGCTTCGAGGGCAAGTGGGCGAAGCTGAGTCCGTCGGACTGTTGGAAGTTAAAGCCGTGTTTGCGCTGTGTGCGGGACCATGCGCGCACGCATGTGGACCCCGAGAGCATTGGGCCTGTGCTGGCTGATATTGGACGAGAGGTGCGCATATGGATTGGCATGTATGGCTTGCCGGGTTCTTGAAATGCCGTACAGGGTACTTTATCCTTGAATTTTTCGGCTGAGAATTACGGTAGTGTATTGAGTGAATGTATAAATGGAGCAGTGAATGTAGGTTATCGTCTGCATGCACTTGATTCCTGCTAGCTGTTCAAATAAATATGCATGTGGCATTGCTGCCACTACGCTTATTACCATGATCATCCAACGCCTACAACATACACTCCAAAATCCGCTTAGTTAAAAGCAACCCTTGCACCATGCACCACCTCACAAAAAGTGTGTTGGGCTGAGATTGTTTCCAACAAAGTGAAGCAATGCATAGAACACACAACCAAGGAATTACCCTCAAACTGCCCAAAGACCAGCGCAACACCTCTACTCAGACATCAACTGGCAAAGAAGCAGGTCAGGGGAAACGGTTGCTGCAACCCTCTCCCCTGAACAGCTTCTCAGCCTGCGCTATGCTGCCACCTCTTGACTCAGCCCAGCCTGGCACTCTAGTGTAGTCACCTCCATGCATCACTCCAACCAATCTTCGCTGCCCCAGCTGCTTCTTTTCCTTCACCACCTCTAAACTCATTCCAGCACCTTCCTCAGCACCGCTTCCCTATGCCCTGCCACCAGCCGCAACCCTCCCCTTCTCAAACAGCACGCCACGAACTTATCCACATCCACGAACTTATGCACAGCTGCATCACTCCAAACCTCACCACCCCTGAGTTGCAACTTAGCCGCCACCACCTGCATTGCTGCGACCCGCGCCCCACAGCCGCTGCTTCGCCTCCACCACCTCTCGACTCACCCCAGCCGCCTTCCTCAGCACCGCTTCCCTATGCCCCGCCACCAGCCATCTCCCACAGCACTCCACGAACCTATCCGCGTGCCAGAACAGCAGGCATCCATCGCCTTCCTCTTCTGCAGCTCAAGTGAATCCCCAGGAGAGAGGAACAGGCAGTTGCCTGTTGGCGGCCAGGGGATGTCCCAGAAGCGGAGTGGGTTGGTGCCAGGGGTGCGGTTGCTGGCAACACCAGCGCTGGCTGCTTGCTTCCGGAGCTGAGTTATCCTGCTTGAGTACTTCTCGTAGGTGATTGGCGCACCTGAAAGGACATGCATGCACGCACGTATGTGAGCACACAAGAGCACATATGAGTACATACGAATATGTACAACACATGTGCATGCCAGCTCACTCCACCCCCATCTCCCCTCCCACGACCATGCACGCTATCATCCAAACGCATCCATAAATCGGATACACACACATGCAGCACAAGCATTCCATGACGCAAAACCAAAGAGAATAAAACGAACTCTTCGGTACGGATGTGCAACGAGTACCTCGGTGCAAGCAGCTAGCGGGCAGCCATACAGCTCTTCACTCGCTCTCACCTGCTTGCCGCCGTCTATACTCCTCCTCCAGCTGGTTCATCGTCTCATCGAATGCCGCCTCCTCCTTCCTTGCCCTCTCCCTCTCTTTTTCCTGCGCCCGCCTCTTCTCCTCCTCCCTCTTTGCTTCCTCCTGCGCCAGCCTTTCCTCCTCCTTCTCCTTCCTCTTCAGCTCCTCCTTCCTCTTCTTCTCCTCCTTCTGCCTCGTCTCTTCCTCCTTCTTCCTCAGATCCTCCTTACTCTTCGCCTCCTCCTTCCTCTTCCTCTCCTCCTCCTTCACCCTCTTCTTTTCCGCCTGCACCCTCTTTCTATCCTCCTCCTTCGCCCTTTTCATCTCAGCAGCCTGCTTCGCCTCTTCCTGCTTCCTACTCGCACCCTCCGCCTTGCTTCTCTTCACCTCCTCAGCCTTTCTCTGACACTCCTCCGCCTTCCTCTTCTTTGTCACCTCTCCCTCAGTACGCAAGATCCTCTTCTGCGCCACAGCAAGAGCAGCTTTCACACGAGCCTCCCAGTCCCGCAGCCGGGCATTGAACGAAGCAAGTACGCTTGCTGAAGCGCCCTTTGGAGGAGGCGGGGGCGGGGGACCCTGATGTGAAAAATTGGGTGATGGGCCGGATGGGGTAAGGGGATAGCAGTGGGAGAGAAGGGAAGAGGGAAGAGGACGGGAGAGAAGAAGGGAGGGGAGGGGAAGAAATATATGGAGGGGGGAGGAGTTGAGAACACCACTGGCCAGCATAGTTTTTGAATCCCAAGAGGGATCAGAAGGACCAAAACGGGCAGATTAAACCAGGGTTGAGAGAAAGGTCAGAACGAGAGGATGGTAGGAGAGGGAGGAGAAGAGAGGGGATAGGATGAGAGCGGAGGGGAGGTAAGAGGGGAGGGGAGGGGAGGGGAGCTCATGGAAACTAGACAACGAGTGCAAGTGGCAACAGTACTCACAAGGGCTTCACTCTCGTGCTGCTTCTGCTGCGACCGCTGTTGGAACTGCCGCTCCAACTCCTCCATCTTCACCCTAAACTCCTCCTCCAGTTCCCTCCTGATCTCCTCTTCAATCTTTTTCCATTGCGCCTCTTTCTCTGCACTCTTTCCCTTGGCCTGCCGCTCCTCCTCCTCCCTCTTCTCCTCTTCCCTCGCAGCAGCATCAGCATCAGCAACAGCAGCAGCATCAACAGAATCAGCAGCAGAAGCAGAAGCAGCTGAATTCTCGCCCTTCTCATCCTCCTCCCTCTTCCTGTCCGTATCCTCCCCAGCCTCTTGTTCCACCTCCTTTCCTTTCCACCGACCCTCCTCTGCCACCTTCTCCTGCTGCTGATTCGCCATGCTCTCCCGCATTGCCTTGCGCTTCGTCGGCCACTCCTCCGCTTGCTGCTGCTGCGACTGCCTTCGTCCTGTTCGTCGCTGCCTCGCCTCTCTCGCCCTCAGAGCCTGCAAAAACGCAACGTGATAGTCCAGAGCAGTCAAAACGAATCAGAAAACCAGAAAATCGTCATCGAAGCTCAAGGTACAGAATTTACACATCGTACGCTTACCTCTTTCTGCCGTTGCCTTGTCCGCACATTCTCCTAATCCTTCCGTCCGCACGTATCGCACTTGGGGGGGACGCAAGGCAGCTTCCCGGACTGGACAGCCAAGATAAATCTCTTCAGCCGTGCGATTTCCAGATACTGTGGCGGGGTTCTCACACAGCACACCACCCGAATCGTTTCGCTGGAGGATGATGTTCCTCCTTCCACGTCCAGCAGAAGTCGAGTCAACTTTCCTGTAGCGCCAGGTGTTGAAGAGAGAAGATACGGAACGTCATAAAGCGCTTGGTACTTTAGTTGCCCGGAGATCTTGCGCGAAGCTAGGAAGTTTTTCGACGTTTTGAGACAGGATCACGCGGAAGTTTGTTAAGATTCGAGATGCCTGAGAGCTGAATTACGAAGAAGAGCTAATAGGATCTGAGGCAAACAGAGAGATACGATTTGAGTGATGGTTTAAAACAAAAAGTAGCACGAGTCAAGGAAAGGAGAGTCGGAGAGGGAAATGAGAAACATCTTGCTGTGCTACGCACCTCTTTCAAAAGATGATGATCCGTGGTTGAGCTTTATATGGTGGAGGCCGATAGCAGCCCCAGCAGAGGCAGTAGTAGTGTTACAGCCCGTCGGTGCGGCGAAGTGCAGGGCCAGCGCCAAGCCTCCGCTGTCAGAATCTTCATCACCGTTCTCAAATGTTGTTAAATTTATCACGCCTCCTTGGGAAGGAATCCGGCTTTTTGGCATGCGAATCACGGTAAGGTGGCCTTTCCGAATGCGATTTGGACCGCGTTCAAAAACAGTTGTGACGTTAAAGCACCCGAGGTGCTCAGGTGCCCAGAGCGGGTTCGCGACCATGACGTTGGTCGACGATGGGTCGTGAATGGAGTTAAGACGAAAGCAGGTGGCGACTTGTTGAAAGTCGGAAACAGGTGATATGGTTCGGAAGGGAAGCGCTGAAAATGGGAGTTTGTCTGTATTTTAAAAGACCGATGCAAGTGCGAACTTGGGTCAGATGGCTGGTGGTATGCGAGGCCTCTTAGTCGGAGGTAGCGATTATAAGATAGCACGAAAAACAACTCACGAAGAGGTGAAGTCTGAGTCAATGGTTAGAATCAATTGCTAAAACTATAAACGACCAGCAAAAGTGACCATCAGTATGGTCCTACCAACTACCATCTGAACAACCAGATGACGTGCTTGGACGACAATCGACCTATGTTCGAGCGTGCAAAAAGCATCGCCGTCAATGGAGAAACGAGGCGACATGAACGGCGGGCGGGATGACGTGACACACAACAATGGCAAGACTCAAGTTTCGATGGATGGTGCACCCTCAAGATGAGCGGAGCGAAGCGCAGACACAGAGCTTGGCGGGACCAGTGTACAGTACAGTAGTAGTCGCAGTGCGCGAGCCGCCTTGAGATTCTCCGCTGGCAGAGAAGTCAGGAGGCTCGGGCAAGGTTCAAAAATACGGCAATCGTAAATTACGGTCCGTAATTTACGGTCGTATTTTACGGTGGTTTTGGCAAAAATACGGCCGTTTTTTTGTTGGAGTTTTGTTTGTACTTTTTTTTTCCTGAAAGTTCTAGGCAGCTTACAATGATGACAAGGAAGCCTACAAGAAACTACACTACACTACCTAGGCAAATCTGCACCTAATCCCTCCTCTTCCTCCATCCTACTCCTCCTCCACCTCCTACTCCTCGTGCACCTCTCCTACTCCTCTCCTCCTCATCCTCCTCCTCCTCCCCACTCTCACCATCACTGCAGTCCCACGGCCAGACTGCCTTAGGACGCTTGGAGGGTCCTACCTCCCGCCCATTGCTCTCTGCCGCCGCCTCCTCCTCCTCCTCGTCGTTCTCCTCCTCCTCCTCCTCCTCCTCCTCCTCCTCCTCCTCCTCCTCCTCCTCCTCCTCCTCCTCCTCCTCCTCCTCCTCCTCCTCCTCCTCCTCCTCCTCCTCCACACGCTTCTTTCCTCTCCCCTTCCGCTTGCATGGCCCCTTTCCCTTCTCCTTCCTCTTCCTCTTGGAGCTCTCTCCCGCGCGCTTCTTCTTCTTCTTACCAATGCCCCCAAATACAGTCCAGTCGATGGTGCACTCTGCCACCTCGGCTCCCTCCTCCTCTTCAGCCCCACCTTCATCCTCTTCCACTGTTGCGGGCGGGGGCACGGCAATGCCCTCTTTGAGGGTTCCGTCGGTGAGATCAGCGTACAACTTCGCACGCGCCTGAGTTTTGCGATCAAACGCATCGCGGGCCCTCCTGGTGAAGGCCACGAAGGTGACATCAGTCATCTTCTTGGCCGCGATGCGGTTCCGATCCCGCCTTTGCACTCGTGCAAGGGCGGAAAAATACCGCTCCACCTCGGACGAGGTGACGGGCTGTGATAGGGTCGTCACAGCCAGTTCTTGGAGCGCTTGCACTTCCCCACCGAAAATCCACCACCACTCCGCATCCGTCATGCGCCCCCCCTCCACCAAGGTCTTGGCTGCCCATAGAGCGTCATCCGACCCGAGGCGGCCCTCACCCTTGTGGAACTGCACCAGCTGTGTCTGCAGCTTGATGCGCTGGGCAACATCCCCCCCCCCGGGCCTGAATCACCTGGTCAGCCCCCTTCCTCACCTCCGCATCGGTTCTCACCTCCCCCGCGTACTGGTTGCGGGGATTAAGAAGCCATCCCAGGGCATGCAGGGGGTTGTGCAGTTGCCCGTCCCATCGCCGGGCAAGGATGCCCTTGATGGATGCCATGAAGGTGCTCTTGTCCTTGGCCAAGAGCAGGCCCGTCTTCTTGATGAATACTGCGGCTGCTCACGGTGAGGATGGAGGAGTTGATTGTTAACATAGGGAATGGCAAGCGCGGTTTGATCAAGCATGCATCACAGATTCGGAAGAAGGAATAGAAGTAAACATAAAAGAGATTTGCACTTACCGGCGGCCTCTGCAGCTTCCCGTGTCTTGACCGTGATATCAATCATGAGGCCATAGATTTGGCCCATGACTTGTGCCCGCGTGTCAACCACCCTTAGCACTTCATAAACCGGCGTGAGGAGGCGGAGCACCACAGAAACACAGTCCCAAAAGACGTCGTCTAGAAGAAGCGCCCGCACCTCCTGCCCTTCTTTCTTTTGCGCCACCGCCACCCCTTTCCATTCATCGCTGATGACCATGGCCTGGAGAGCCCTCTTCACCTCCAAGAAGCGGCGTATCATGATGACTTGAGTGCCGAACCATGTCGCACCCGGCCGCACCAATGCAAGCTTGGTAAAAAGCTCGCGGAATAGAACGACGGCGGAGGCGCTGCCCTTGATCATCATGACGTCTCGATGCACTTGCTCTAACACGCGTTTGACGGGCTTAAATTTCCCTAGGTCGTGAAGCATAAGATCCAAACAGTGGGCGGCGCAGTTCGCGAAAAAAACCGAGGGAAACTCCTCCTTAATCTTCTCAGCCGCGGATCGATTGTTAGACGCGTTGTCCATGATGACCTGGACCACGAGGTCCTTCCCCACTTCGGAGATTGAGTTCCCGATGAGGCCCGCGAGGTAATCTCCTGTTTTCTTGGCGGTTTTCGAGTCCACGATGTCCACAATGACGGGCGCGGTGTCATTGTGGGCGATGACGCACACGATCCCGCGGGACTTCATGCACGTCCACCCGTCCACCGAGAGACTGCACCCGGTCGTCTTCCAACTCTCCTTCAACGGCCTTACAAGCTCCTCGGCGTCCGCCCTTAACTTGTCGAGGAGAGAGCCGGACACCTTGTAAGGGGTTGGGAGTGTGTAGGGCTTCGCGAACACGACCGCTGCGTCAACGAAGGCCTGTAGCGCACGCGATTTGGAGACGTTGAAGGCTAGATCATTCTCTGCCACAACTGCCGCCCACAGGTAGTCCAAACGCGCGCGGGCAATGGTATCCGCCATATCGCGGATGTCCCGCTGCCTAGAACGCCTTGCGGGCTGCATCTCGACCGTGGTGGAGGTAGAGGCCCGGTTGGAACTGGATGGTGTGGAAGACCGATCCCTCTCGTCGGCTTCACGAAGCCGCTTGGCAAACTCGGACGGACACGGCGACACGTTCTTCTCCCTTGATCGAGGGGTCCCGTAGATGTGCTCTCTAATACGAGTGGCATTTGGCGTCACGGTAGCAGGGCAATAGCTGCATGTCGCGGTGACTATGCCGTTAGGAGATGTAACCTTCGTCACGTGCTCCCACACCTCCGAGAAAGGTCTAACCATGGTGGAATACCGCACTTGACTGAAGCTGTAAAATGCCTACTAAGATGTACTTGTCGAGTAGGTTTATCGCCCTGCTCTTTGTACCTTGCTAGACTTGGTTGTGTTGCTTTGGCGAACGGAAAAGGCAGAAGGGATGGGATGGAGATTGGACTAACGCTATTGGTCAAAATTGTTTCGCAGCGCAAAGTTGGGCTGTGTCGCGCACGCGGGCGAAAATAACGACGGGGCCGCGAATCGTCCCACCGACCTAACGAAACGGGTTGACGGGTGATAACGGTTCGCCAAATGTACAAATTACCGCATCGCGCAAATTTGTACATTTGCGCTTCGGCGAAATACACAAACTGACATTTCGTAAGGGCAACAGAGCAGCAAAACGTTCGCCAAAAAACCAAATGTCGCGCCTCGAGAAATACTCGACATGCGCGACTCGGGAAAAAAACAAACACGTGTGCATTTGGCAGCACGAATGTCTCAAACCCAGGGTGACGGTTGGGAAATGCCGAAATTCGCTATTGCAAACTCAGTATCAAAATTTCGGTCGTAATTTACGACCGTATTTTTAAAGCAACATGAAATTACAATGATTGACCGTTTTTACCGTAATTTACGGCCGTAATTTACGATTCCGTAATTTACGGCAAATTTTCAAAAATACGGCCGTATTTTTGAACCTTGGGCTCGGGGATGAGCGCCAGTTTTGGGGGGCGGGAGAGGAAAAGGCGGAAAATCAATATAGGGTCTCCCAGTCACACCTCTGGGAATATGTTTTCTATAATGTGGCTGAAAGAAGAGACAGAACGCATAAAGCTTAAAGCTTCTTGTTTCCTCACATTCCCTAGTTTATTCCTTACAAGCCGTTCGCAGGTCTCTTTCACCCTATTCCATTTGCATAAGGTTGGAAAACATCTACGGTACTCTCGGTCTACCGTCATCATGGTTACTGCACACATAGCATATGATCAATATCCAGTAATGAGATTTCTGCGCACACTGTGAAACATTGCAATACCCCAAGTCTTATCTATGCTTAGATATTCGTTCAGAAGCAGCCAAATTATTAAGATGCAGCCTTCTTGTTGTGTTGCATAAATCGGAGGGCTAGGTACGTTACAATCCGACATGCAATACAGAATAGGATGAGGAAGAGCCAGTCGTAACCGTATTCAGAGCGGATAGAACGGGCCGTGGATATGTATGTCCATTGAAAGCTGCTGCTGCCCTCGACACGCGGACAAGAGCAACCGTGGCATGATGAAACAAGTGCAGCACAACCCGGACTCACACAACTGGGGATTTCGGCGTCACAGTAGAAAGCTATGGCTGTCATAGCATTCAATGCATACTGCAAGAAAATGGCACAGTGAACGACATGTAAGACCAGAAAAACAATACTAGCTCCATACCTGTAAAGGGTTGGTCCAATAAAATGGCCTGAAGAAGAAGTGCATTAAACTGTATGGGACCACGTATCCTGCAGTGCTTATCCATACTCCAGACACCATAGGCACGAGCATGAATGCAAGCTGCAGAGAATATGGCAGGTCAAGAGATATTGGAAATGAACTGCAGGACAGACCATCAATTTCCAGAGAGCCTGGGGGCTTGGACAAGTCGTAACTCACTCTCGGGTTTGGAAGAGCCACAGAAAGAAGAAACCCAAGGTAGGTGATGCCGAGGGAGAAAAGGAAGTGGGAGAACCAAAATGCAAAGAACTGTGACAAGCTGGAGACTGCAACTTGAGCTAGGCCCACTGATATGACAATAAATATCAGAGTCGTTACAATCAGATACGGAATCTGCAAACAGGAAAAAAAGGTAAGAACTTCTGGTCCATGATACAACTCCGGGGCTCAAAAGAAAAACCACTGCGTTGCGTACCTCAACCACTGTGAAGGAGATGATGTATGTGGAGGCGAAGTACTGTTTATTGAGCCTTTCTCTGTTGAACACATGGCGTATGCGTGTCAGCATTCCCACCACAGTTCCTCCATTAGAGGTGGGCCCAAAGATGAGCAGTGTGAACACAAATCCAGCACGCGCTGAGATCTGGAGGAGAGTGGAGCAGGGCAGGTCGAAAAAGAGGGAGCCAATAACGAGGCCCAGGACACAAGCGACAACTGCACGGGACAGGGTATAAGAGGTGTTCCGCCAGTAGAGGACGTTGATGGACCAATACACCTTTGCCAGACGTGACATGTAAAGAGACTGCCGCAGGCAACAGCGTCTTCTTTGTAGCGTGTCTTTCTGTGAAGTTTCTGCCTCATAAGTAGGCGCTGAGGTGGGTCTCATAGCGCTTCCAGGCTTCCTGGACTGCAGAGAGGGTTCCTCACTGGCAAGTACTGTGCTGGTATCTGTTCTTCCTTGGTTTGAACTCAAAGCCACCTGACCAGATCCAGGAAGTGCTGGCATAGCAGCAGTTGAGTCTGATGCTTCTGAAGCATAGAAGGAGTTGGGACTGCGACGAAGCTTCCGCAGGTGCTGGGCGTTGCTCATGGCCAGGTTGCTGATTCGATACTCAAACGCATAGTCACGTGCAGCTACAGACTCTGAAACGCCTTCTCCCATTGCATACTGTAAGAAGCTGATGGGATTCATGTTGTCAGGGAGCATGGGAGTGCCAGGTATGGCCTGGAAGTATTCCTGCATATCACGGACAGAGAAAACATCAAGAGAGAGAAAAAAGCTAAACATGGAAAACAAGCTATATATCTCAGCCAAGAAGGTATAAATCCAGCATCCCATCAATTTCACTCACCACAATGGCAGAGCCAAATCGACCAGCAGGTCCAAAGTATACCATTTCACCTCCATTGCGTAGCATCAGCACAGAAGTGAAGCTGTTGAGCTGAACCACTGTGGGCACGTTGGTCGACACTACCATGGCCTTGCCCCAACCTGTTGCCACGCTCTGAAGTGCAAAATAACAGAGCAGGTTCACATACATCAATAAACGGGACACTATCACATCAGAGGAGAATGCCTGACATGCGTTTGCTCACGTCTAGAATCTCTGCAAACTGCACAATCTGCTGCATGTCGATGCCAATGAAGGGGGTGTCAAGAAAAAGTGCTGAGGGGTTTCCTGCAAGCTCCATGGCCAGCATGATTCGCTTTTCCGTAAATACCAGACCGCTGCCACCTGAAGTAAGGAGGTCATTTACCAGATACTCTGCAAGGTCATTTACTCGAGTGACCTTCAGAATCTGACACACGAGAAGAGGAGATAATGAGGACGAGATAGGAATGTGTACACATCCATGGCAAAAAACAGAATTGAAAAGGTCTCACCTTGTCCACAAACGAGTTACGCGATTTGCGTGACACTGCTTGTGGCAGCAGAAGGTCGGTTCGATACATAAGACTCTCTCAAACTGTAAGATACGGGTAGTGCTGATGGCCTCCTTCAATGTATGCCGTGCATTGGATGAAGGATTCAAGGTCACGAGTCAGACCATTGACCGACAACTGGCCTGTGATTCGCCCACGAATCTTTCGCCCTGTCACAAGAGAATACTGAGAATTGAGAGGCTTCAAAGACAGCAGAAAGAATAAGTAACAGCAAGATACAAGAATGCTTACCAGCAAGACAGTTGAGAAGGCTTGTCTTGCCTGCACCCCTTCCTCCCACAATCCCTGTAATCTCACCAGGCTTGACCCAGCTTGAGATGCTTTTCATAACTTCCATGTCTCTATCAGAATGGACGGATGTGATCTTGTATGAAAGATTCTGCCATGCCAGCACCACTGGCTGAAACGGTGGACATTCAGCCTGCCATCCCTCCGACTCGCCATTCCTGGCTTCTATCTCCCCAAACTCAACCGCAACATCATGGCCATTGCGAGGCTCTGATGGAAACACATCTATACTAGCAGCAGGTCCGATGCCATTGGCACAAACTGACTCCTTGGACTCACTTTTGGCTGCCAGGCAGCTTGGTGGCAGTATTTTAGGATGCGGAAAGTGCTGCTGGTAATACCCTGGAAGGAGGCAGATATAGCTAGCCAGGGTCCAGAGAATGGTCCAGGCGACAAGCACAAGTGGACCAATCAGAAATACAATCCAGTCATAGTTCCAGCCGTTGGCTTTGAGGTATGCAATCCCCAATGCTTCAGTTGGGTGGGCTTGAAAAAATGGATACGGGCTCAATGGCAAGAGAGGGAAGGCAGCTGAGGAGTTGGAAACAGATGAGCTGGGCATGAGATATGTAGGCGGAAGGACTTCTGTGCAAGGAATATTGAACTTGCTGCTGCGGAATTCATTGACTTGCATCATGGTTGCAGCCCACTGGAGAGCATCAATCCGGTACACCCATATCCAGTAACCCCGGATGAGGGATTGGGGAATGAGGAGATGAATGAAGAGGAAAACGGAAGGGCCCACAAGAAGTGCAGAAAAGAAGGCAGCAGCAGCAGGATTCCGGGTGGAGAAGGCAATGAAACGGACCATGGCTGACCCATGCAGGACGGTGAGAATCATAATGGCATAGAAAATCCAGAAGTGGACACCACCATCACTGAGTGAAAATCCAGCCAAAAAATACACGATGATGGACCACACAGTTGCCTGAAGAAACACGAGGAAAGTAAGTTACACATTCTTAAGAAAACTTCAAAACCCCAAAGTTACTGAAACTGGACGTACCTCTATGATTGAAAAGGGAGCTCCAGCCAACACATGTGCCAACAGGTAGGTGTATGTGCAGAAGCTTTGGGCAGATGAATGTTTGTAGTAGACCAAACGTTCCTCCATGAATATAGGTAGCTGACTGAGGTTGAACAAGGTCATCGCGACAAGCGAAAGAAAGGTGATTCCTCGACGAAGGTTCAGGTTGCCAACAGTTGGAGGGTCGGAGGGCATCTGAAAGAAGTTGAAGCCATGGAAAAGGGACATGACCAGAATCTGCATCACCAGGATCACAAGTCATGAAAACGTCAACAAGAGATTCAAAAAGCATGCGTATAGGCACATTTCATGACAATGCGAACCTGAATGAATCTTGCCATCAATGCAAATCGGTTCCTGCATAGTGATAATAGCTGACGATGCAGCAACAGCAAGAATTCTGGCCAAGGGTCTAATATGAACCGAGTCTTCAATTGTTTCATCTCATCTTGTGCTTCCTTGACCTGATCATAGAATGTCAACAAATGGTTGCTCAATAAGGAAAGGAAACACATCACAGTTGCCATCTTCCATCACCTTTTCTTCTGAAGACATTGGCTCTGGTCGTTCAAACTGAAGCTGAACCATGGTGCTACTGTCTTTTAGGTTTTCAAGAAACTTGCCAAGGTCTTGTGGGTCCAGGTCACCACCAACATTTCTCGCATACTCAAACTGCCTTCCCATAAGTGCAAACCCAACAAGCTCATCACCTTCTTCAATAGGCCCAGTCAGGACCACCTCACCATCCTTGCTATCCTCCTTGCAGTCTGACTTCAGCACAACTATTCTTGATGTTTTGGCAGAGGAGTTCGCATCGGAGGCAAGACTGAGAGTGATGCGCGTGAGAACAAGCTTGGCTGGTCCAGATATCCAGATGGTACAGCTGATGCCTTTGTTGTTGACAATGCGCATAACATCACAATGAAGAGGAGATCGTTCATATACACGCACTGTCCACCATAACAAGACCATGTAAGGACCTCATAATAAGTGAAGAACGGAAAAAGGTGAGCAAAACAAAACAGCACGGTCCCTACCAAAGCCATTGAGGTCCAGCTTCTCATAGCCTGGCTCAAGAAGCTGTGCTCCAGCCTCTGTGGAGACAACTTGAAGAAACTCTGGCTCCGATATGTACTTAGGCTTCTTGTACCTGAGAAATAGTTACAAAAATCGGTGTTCAACTCAGATCATGTACACGACAGCACCTTCTGAAATGTAAGACTCATACCCCAGGTCCACAAAGTAGCTTGTTGAACAAGCAGTTGGGCCTTGATAGACAACTCGGCCAGAGTTGAGCACGATGACACGATCAAACAGGTTAAAGACGTCCTGAGTGGGCCACTGTAAGCTGCATACTACCACTGTCTGTCGGACCTGAGCATACTCTTTCAGCATGGAAAGGGTTCTGAAAGTAGACGGGCCATCATATAGCTCACTGATGTGATCAAAACACCAAAACCTGAAAAGAAACCAGCCTCTATGATTAAGATAATTCACTGGCAGAAACAGAGAGAGAGAGAGAGAGAGAGAGAGAGAGAGAGAGAGAGAGAGAGAGAGAGAGAGAGAGAGAGAGAGAGAGAGAGAGAGCAACGGAACTTACTGGGTAAGCCCCAACAACGGTTTCTGCTGCTGTCAGCCGATGCCTTTCATCTTTTGTCAAGCCTGGTGATCCCACATGTGAGTTGGCCTGATTTGTCAGACCAAACATCAGGAGCCTAGACTCCACAAGCGGATCCTCTCCAGCATCAAATGCTTCATGCAGGACAGCATGCATCATCTTATCATGCTTCAGCTGTCAGAGGGTCACATCACGGGTAAATCTCCGAGCATACTCCAGTGTTTCACGAACAGTTAGACGAGGAAGATGATGATCCTGCTCTGGAACCATGCCAACAGTGTGGTGAACCTGGACGCTTGTGCTTGGCGTGTTATTGAATCGAATAACACCTTCAGAAGCTGCAAGCTGGCCTCCAATGAGCTTCACAAGCATTGATTTTCCACTTCCTGGGTGTAATACCGAGATTGATTAGGAAAACATCATGCGTCACTTCACAAGTTCATTGCAGAATTTCAACACACCAGCTGGTCCAATAACAAGGGTCAAGGTGCCTGGCATGAAGTACCTGCGAATCAACGGTGGTGAAGTACTGAGAAAAGGTAGACATTTAATGTAAGACTAGATGAGAAACCTCGAAATGAGTACCCGGTTATGTCTTTTAACGCTGAAACAGGCTCCTCGGGTGTCAAGACGTTCTTCAAGCTTAGATACCCCTGCAGTGTTTCAGATTGCGTGATTTCATTTTCCAGGGACATGAAGCTTTGACTTCATGAATGAGGCCCAAACAACTTACTGCATTCCAGCAATTTCTTGTCGTGGTAGGTAGTGGCTTCGATTTGCCAACATACTGAAGTCCTTGAACCTTGACTACCTACGGAACCACACTTAATCAGTAGAAAAACTTGTGAAGATGCACACACGAGGTCCTGGACCATATTGTACCTGAGATGGATTACGAGGCAAGTATGGTTTGATCGAGAGTAGATAGTTTCTCAGTCCAGTCTTCAACAGCAAACTTGTTCCACGAGGCATTTCAAGTTCCTCAATCTCCTCGTCTCCCGTCAATGCTGAAAAATCCTTTACGGTTGAACTGACAAGGTTTGCTGCTTCCTTAGACAAGCCATGGCTCTTGAGAACATTGTGATAAGCCTTGATAAGATGGATCAAAGATGCTTCGCCAACGCCATTTAGAGCCTCAATCAAACGCAAGTCATCTGTTTCTGATATTTGGGAACTAAGACGCCGAATGGCTTCTGATAATCCTGAGCTTTGCCGACGAACAGAGTGTGAGATCCCTGAGGATTGGCGACGCATAAAGACTGTATGTGATCCCTCATACCAGTTGTCCACCTCCTCACTCAGCCGACGAGGTGGTTGAGGGGTTTCAACATGGGGAACGATGCCTTTCTCATCCATGGTTTTTTCTTGTTCTGCCAGTGAAAAAACCTTGCAGAAATCTGTCTGTGATGTTCAGCTTAGAAAACTACAGACATTGTGCGTGGTTTGAAGCTCACAGACTAATGGCGGATAGCTGGTGGATAGCTCATTCGACCTTTCTAACAGAACCAGAACTAGCTTAGCCGCTGATAGCTCATTCGACCTTTCTAACAAAACCAGAACTAGCCTAGCCGCTGATGAATTGGAGAATGCCGGCTGACATAACCGGAGAATCCACTTTCGTTCGTTGAACACAGCTCACTCCGGGCGTGTTCAGGAAGGAATGGGAAACGGACATGCTTCTCAAACACACACAGTAACCCGCGTGGGGAGGCTCGATCTGTATTTGCGACGAACTGTGCTGTATTTGCGACGAGCTCAAACTGACAATTCTCAAATGACCTAGTTCGCCCGAACTAAGAACAAGCAGCATTTCGTGTTCCATACTGCCCAAACGAAATGAGGCAGTACAGATCGTGTTCCATTCCTCACGTCAGGTCAGATCAGAGTAGCATCAGTTCCTTATGAAGCAATACAATACGGTGCTTTCTGGTTTGGAAACCTTCAAGTTGGTAGTTACAATCCCTGACCCATTCAACATTCTCATGTGCCAAGGCAAACAAGCTTATCAGGTGCTCAAGGCGCATGGTCCGTTTTGCCTCCCCTATTCCCCCACTCCCTCTGTCTATGGTCACTTTTTCTTGAAAAGGCTAAGGGCGGGTCCAGCGCGTACGTTTACAGGTACTATACAGTTCATTCGTCGTGGTTTGAAAAGATATTAGATGGTGCACAGCGGTTCTGAAATTTCACCGTTATGAAGCGTGACGCAATACAAATTACCGCACTGAATGAACTGTAATGTACGGAAAACGTACGCGCTGGACCCGCCCTAAATAACTGAAACCTTGCGATTAAACCACAGCCGACTGTTTCTGCCGTCCTTGCGCAGAAGAGGGAGAAACTAGCAGTCAATCCATAATGGCGGCATTTCCACCGCAAAATCCGCCGGGGCTACCGCAATCGGCCGTACCGTCATTAGATCTCACGGGCCTCTGTTTTCGCGACCAAATTTTCCTTAATTTTGTTGGCGGATGCCTCGTGCCGGGTAACGTGTTCGACTATTTCGCCAACTCGCCGTTCTAAGATCGCACGTGCAACAACGAGCAGCTAAGGATGCAGGGCATTCATCCCCTTGACACAGCGCGCCTCAGGTGATTTCAGGTTGTAGCGCAAGCAACAAGTAGAACGTTGTGAGAGTGAGCAGAGCCAAATCATTGAGCTAGAAATAGTACAACATACTCAGCAACCATTGGCAGGTCCCATCCACCAAGTGAGTAATCTCAGCTTAGGGATGACGGGCCGAGAGGATAGTGGTCCGAGTGCAGGCGTCGCCGCCGAAACCGCCGATTACTCGCATCTGTCCACGGAAGTCGAGAGTGAGTAGGGGGGAAAGCGAGCCGTCACGCTTTTAGGGTTTTCAATGCGGAAAAAGGTGTGTGCCGGGTCGTTCTACGTGGGGCCGTGATTGCAATGTGACGCGCGCCACCGAGCACTCAAAACGCGCATTTCTATAAGCCGAGACTTATCTTCTGCTGGCTGGCGGTCTGAGATTTGGTGGAAGGGAATGTTCAGTGCCTCCCATGCATTTGATTATTTGTTTCCTCCGACCACTTTAGAACTCCGAATACGTCCCGTTGGGTGTGGAGAGCCCAATGGAAGCTCTCACATTTTCCGCGCGCGAGCCTGTTTCGGCACGGGCCCTTGTGCCCCTCGATAGCACTCACTGTCCCCCTCCTTTCGCGCTCCCTTTCCCCCTCGATAGCACTCCTCTTCCCCCTCGTTTCGCCCTCCCTTTCCCCCTCTATATCTCTCCCTTTCCCCCCCGTTTTGCACTCCCTTTTCCCCACGTTTCCCACTCAATTTCCCCCTCGGAATGGCATGACTTTTCCCCCGCGGTTCGCACTCCCTTTTCCCCTCGACAGTCCGCCCTTTCCCCCTCGCGCTCGCACTCCTTTTCCCCCTCGATAGCACTCCCTTTCCCCCTCGTTTTGGAAGCCCCTTTCCCCCTCGATAGCACTCCTTTTCCCACCGAACATGGCACTCACTTTCCCCCTCGTTTCGCCCTCCCTTTCCCCCTCTATATCTCTCCCTTTCCCCCTCGGTTCGCACTCCCTTTCCTCCTCGTTTGAGCACTCGATTTCCCCCTCGTTTCGCACTCCCGTTCCCCAGCGTTTCGCACTCCCTTTCCCCCTCGACAGTCCGCCCTTTCCCCCTCTTCTCGCACTCGCTCTCCCCCTCGATAGCACTCCCTATCCCCCTCGTTTCGCACACCCATCCCCCCTCAAGTGGTCTCCCTTTCCCCCTCGTTTCGAACTACCTTTCCCACACGTTTCGCACTCCCTTTCCCTTTCCCCCTCGATAGCACTCCCTTTCCCCCTCGTATTTCACGCCCTTTCCCCCTCGTTCCGCACTCCCTTTCCCGCGCATTTCGCACTCCCTTTCCCCCTCGATTCGCACACCCTTTCCCCCACGGTGACACTCCTTTTCCCCCCTCCTTCTGCATTGATTCCCCCACGGCATCACCCCCCCCCCCCCTCTCCCCCATGGTATTACTACCCTGCCCCCATGTTATCACTCCCCTTTCCCCCCTGGCTCCTCGGTATCTCTCCCTTTCCCCACGATATCTCTCCCCTTCCCCCACGTTATCTCTCCCTTTCCCCCACGATATCTCTCCCCTTCCCCCACGTTATCTCTCCCTTTCCCTCACGTTATCTCTCCCCTTCTCCCACGTTATCTCTCCCCTTCCCCCACGTTATCTCTCCCCTTCCCCCACGTTATCTTTCCCTTTCCCCCACGTTATCTCTCCCCTTCCCCCACGTTATCTCTCCCCTTCCCCCACGTTATCTCTCTCTTTCCCCGTTGGTTTCTCTCCCCTTCCCCCTCGGTATCTCTCTCCTACCCCCACGGCAGCACTCCCCTTCCCCCACAGTAGCACTCTCATTCCCCCACGTTAGCACTCCCCCTCTCTCACGATATCACACCCCTTTCCCCTGTGTATCACCCCCCTGGCTCCACGGTATCACTCCCCTTCCCTCACGGTATCACTCCCCTTCCCCCACGATATCACTCCCTTTCCCCCACGGTATCTCTCCCTTTCTCCCACGGTAGCACTCCTCTTCCCCCACGGTTTTCCCCCCTTTCCCCCACGGTATCTCTCCCCTGCCCCCATGTGTGTCAATCCCCTGCCCCCATGTGAATCAAGGGGGGAAGAGAGAGAGCAGCGGGTAATGGGGTGAATCAAGGGGGAAAGAGAGCGAGGAGACTGGAAATGGGGTGAATCAAGGGGGAAAAAGATAGAGCAGCGGGTAATGGGGTGAATCAAGGGGGAAAGAGAGCGAGGAGACTGGAAATGGGGTGAATCAAGGGGGAAAGAGATAGAGCAGCGGGTAATGGGGTGAATGAAGGGGGAAAGAGAGGGAGCAGCGAGGAAATGGGGTGAATCAAGGGGGAAAGAGAGAGAGCAGCGGGGAAATGGGGTGAATCAAAGGGCAAAGAGAGAGAGCAGCAGGGAAATGGGGTGAATCAGAGGGGAAAGAGAGAGAGCAGCGGGGAAATGGGGTGAATCAAAGGGGAAAGAGAGAGAGCAGCGGGGAAATGGGGTGAATCAAAGGGGAAAGAGAGAGAGCAGCGGGTAATGGGGTGAATCAAAGGGGAAAGAGAGAGAGCAGCGGGTAATGGGGTGAATCAAAGGGGAAAGAGAGAGAGCAGCGGGTAATGGGGTGAATCAAAGGGGAAAGAGAGAGAGCAGCGGGTAATGGGGTGAATCAAAGGGGAAAGAGAGAGAGCAGCGGGGAAATGGGGTGAATCAAAGGGGAAAGAGAGAGAGCAGCGGGTAATGAGATGCGTGAAGGGGAGCGCAATGCGCTGGGGCAGGGAATGTGGGCGCGCTGACAACAGGGAATGTGCGCGCGCTGGGAAAGGGAATGTTTGCGCGTGGGCGGAGGGCAGGTGCGCACGCTGGTGAAGGGAATGTGCTCCCGCTGGGGAAGGGAGTGTGCGCGCGCGGGGGGAGGGCATGTGCGGGCGCTTGGGAAGAGAGTGTTTGGGCGGTTGGGATGGGAATGTGCGCGTGTCCCGGTAGGGAATATCATCGCCCTGCGGAAAGGAATGTCTGGGCGCTGCGGAAAGGAATGTCTGGGCGCTGCGGAAAGGAATGTCTGGGCGCTGCGGAAAGGAATATCTGGGCGCACCGTCAGGGAATGTCTGGGCGCTGGGGAAGGAATTATGATGGTGACGCAGACCTGAAACGGCATGGCGACGCGGAGTCAGCGGCGCAAAGGGACTGTGAGAGGGGTGGGAGAAGACCCTACCGGCTTATCCACGCAGAAATGTGGGCTAAGGTCTTCAGACGTGTAGTTCTAGCGAGGACGACGCGGAGTGCGATTACGCGGCGTGTGAAGGCCTGCACATTCTTTATCTTCCGCTGGCTCCTAATGCCGTCACTTCCTACTAGCCATGCGTCGGTTGTTTGGGCTTTCCACACTCAAGTCCCTCCATGGCGTGGAGATGTCACTATTACAGCGCCAGAATGTGGGCTATGGCCTAATATTCTGTAAACTGACCCTACTACGACTGGGTCCCTTCCCGTTGCGGAGTCATAAAAGAGCTGGCGTTTTCAATGTGTTGACTAAGTAGGCGGTGGACTTAGGATAGGGCGAATTAGCTTCTAATGGCAGCTCGACTGAGCAGAAGTAGTCTCAAGTTGTTTCCCACTGAAGTCAGGCTTCCTGTTTTTGGTACATGTGCGATTGTTTCAGGTGAGAGTGAGTGTCGCTGCTACAGTGGTTTGATTGTTGTGCGATTGCTCAAGGTGACGGAGAGTGTCGCCCCTACAGTGGTTTCGGTTGACGAACTTGAGAAAACCGGCAGGGCCAGGTAATTCAGTGGGACTGGTGTGCAACAGGGTAACACCCAACCAAAGTTAGGAAGGTTGAGGCAGTTTTGGCCGGTTTGGGACTCCGGTTTTAAGCATTGATGCTATGGGCTCGTCACCTTACATTGGGACCCCCCGCCCTCCTTCCCCCATTTCCCCTCCTATCCCGTCTCTCTGTGCTCGGCTTGTTCCTCTTTCCCCCCGCCTTTTACACGGGTGGATGGATGTTTCTCGTCTTCTGCATAATGTAGCAACCACTTCCACTTCATTATCGCTCCATTTGGCATTTCCAGACTTCTGCCTGGCTTTTCCCCCCATTCTCCGCTCCCCACCCTCCCCTGTCGCGGCTCCTCCCCCGTTTTCTTCCCCTCCTGTGTGCCTTAGGATCCACCGTAATTTCTCCTTGTTCTGAAGTTCCAATTAACCCCTTGACCACTGACCTTTTCTTCTCCCCCATCCCACTCCCCCTCCCGTCAACTCTCCCGTTCCTTCTCCCCGCATCCTGGGAGATGGTGGACTGGAATTGTTCGCTGCGCATGGATCAGATTTAAGTCGTCTCACAGATGTTCTTCGATCTCCCCTCGTTCAAGGAAATGGTGGGGTGGGAGTGTTCGCTGCACATGGCTGGCGCATGAGCCGCTTTGAATCTTCCTTGTTCTAAAATGTCTCACAACCCTTGTCTTCACTCCCCCCTCGTGCAGAGAGATGGTGGGGTGGGAGTATTCGCTGCACATGGCGCAGGAGCCTCATCTGTTTGTGCTGCGGAAGCAGAAAAGGGACGGTCCAGATCGCACCACGCCCGTGGCCGCATACTACATCCTGGATGGGTCCATCTACCAGGCCCCTTCTCTGCATGCCGTCATCGGTTCTCGGATCGTGAGTCACTCCGTGGTCGGACAATCAGTCTGGCATTCATTCAGTCAGTGAGTAAGTCAGTAAGTCTGTCAGGCCGTGTCAGGCCATGCCATGTGCTTCTGAGTGGTGGTGTATCTACTCTAGACCGTGCCACTAGCAGCCTACCCTATGACACTCCTCATGGATCCGTTTAGTTGCAGGCAGTTTATGGGAATCCCTAAAATGCAACATTGCGGCATGCCCTCATCAGCTCGGCTCTCATTTTCTGGGAACGTGCAATGTTTATCCTTATACTGATTTTCTGTGGAGTCCTTAGTCACCTTTTACCACGACTAAGAGGTTTGCTTTTACCAGGCTCAGTCGCGGCCTGCTGCTATGGCCTTATGTGCGCTCCACCCTGTCATTTGGCAATGATGCTACTAGCCAGCCATGCTCTCACTGCCTGTCATTTGGCAATGATGCTGCCAGCCATGCTCTTGCTTCCCACCTCTGCTGTTTCTTTCCTCCATTTCTCTCGTTTCCTTCTTCCCCAGCCCTCTATCAATTCCTGTGCTGCTATGCATGCACTATCTGCCATGTATTGCACTTCTCCTTTCGCCACTCCACTCCTCTTCTCTTTGCATCCAAGACGCTGTGTATTTCAATCCAATCCCAATCCCCAATCTCATGCCCTGTCCCCCCTCCTCCCTCTTCCCCCTACCCCCTCGTCCCTCCTCCCCTCCCCCAGTGCCGTGCCCTGCATCATCTCCGGGCAGCCTTTTCCATGACCCGGGTGGCTCTTGACAATCCCGAAGCTGCCCGGCCAAAGGAAGGTATGGCACATGGTGGGAAAGATGGGTTGGTGGAGAGGTCATAGCTACAAGGAGCAACAGGATTGTTGAGACCTCCATCAGGGTCCACCCGTCGTCCGCCATTCATTGGTGTTCTTAGCCCCCCTTTTTTGAGTGCTTCTGTTGGGCTCCTTGCACTCTTGGTGAATTTGCAGTCACCTAATACACAATGTTGGAAAATAGGCTCAGGCCTCGACGCGTATCAGGTAGATACGGAAATATGTGATACGCTTCAAATATAAACACACACACACACACACACACACACATACACACGCGTGCGCGCGGGCGCGCGCACACACACACACACACACACACACACACACACAAATATCCCTTGTCAATCCTGCGACTTGCGAAATCATCTTTTGCAGCTCGTAGTTTGATTCCCCTTCGATCTCCCACCCCCCACCTCACACCAATCCCAACCTTCCTTCTCGGTCATCTCTCACCAAGAAGCAGGTGCGTTGGCGTGAGTACGACAACAAGGTGAGCCATTCTGAATCCAATCTGTCTCACGCCTCGTTTGGTCTACGTGGCTATTCTACTTACAGCTTAGCCTCTAGCAGCAATGTCGACCCCCAATGCCGCAGCCGCAGCCGCATCCGCTGCCCATAAAACATTTTACCCTACCCGGACACCCTATTCCAAACTCGTCAGAAAACAAGAAATAACCATATCACGCATATATTCCAAAAATGTTAACACATGAGCTCCACTCGTCCTTTCATTCCAGCCCCTCATTTTATTAGTCTGTCTGGATTTCTATGTGTCGTTTGAGTTGACGTGACAGCAGCACTTGCTGCAACTGGCCATCCAGAGTGAATCCTCAATAATGTGGTGACTTTTGAGTCGACTCTTGAGTCGAGGTGACTTTTGAGTCGACTCAAGAGTTGACGTGACAGCAGCACTTGCTGCCACTGGCCATCCAGAGTGATTCCTGCCACTGCCAATAACGTTCTTCTCCAATAATGCAGGATGCTTGCTGTCAGTAATGCAGTTCTTTAGCCTCAGCTCATTACACAACCAGCCAAGCAAATGTAGTACAATTGCTACTTTGCTTGCCAGTTTCCACCATCCACCACCCTCTTCCTCACTTCTCATGTCTCCCCAGCAGAGCGGTCAGATTCAGAAGGGGCGTCAGTTGATGCCCCCGACACGCCAGCAGCATCAGAAGCAAAACCAACCGCAGCAGACGTGAGGGAGATGGCACGACTGGACCATGTGATTATGAGCGTTGTCAGGAAGCTCACCCCAGCTCCACCTCCCCCAGATATCGCCTTGCCGGCGCTGCCACAGCCAGTAGCAGCAGGTGAAGCAGCAACAGCAGAGGACAAGACGGGAGGGGCGGGTACCCCTGCTGCTGGTGCTGCTAGTGCTGGTGGCGGTGCTGCTTCTGCTGCTGCCCCTGCAACTGGTGCTGGGGCGACTACAGGGGCTGGCAAGAAAGCGGGGACAGGTAAAGCGTCTACAGCAAGGAAGGGGGGGGCAGCGAAGGCGAGAGCTGGATCAGGTGCTAAGGCTGGTGCTGCAGGGAAGAGTGGTGGTGCCGCTGCCGGTGCCAATGCAGGTGCCGGTGCGGGTGGTGGTGGTGGTGGTGCTGCTGCTGCTGCTGTTGGTGGAGGGACCAAGACAACAAAAGCAGTTCCGAAGCCCACACAAGAAGGGGAAGTACGGAAAGCAAAGAAGACCAGAAAGGTCTAGTTTATGTTGACGCTCCGCATTTGCGGTTTTTGTTGGCTTGTATGTGGTGAATAGATGATACCCTTCAAGGAGAAAAGCCACACAACAGGGCAGGAGCTTCCTAGAGGATGATGGCAGGTACCAGTATTCTTTCATAAACCATGAGGGGGCTCATTTTGAGTGAGCATCTTCTGCTCGTGCAAAGGCAGCAAAGCAAGTCATCCTGGTGCTGCATCTCCCAATGCACATATTATATATATACCCTACCGTATTACAATGCATGCAGCTTGTAGGTACAAGCATAGGAAAATTGGATCATTGGCCTGCAACCCCCCTTGCATTGTCCAATGTCTACCTCGTGAATCAAGCTGCAGCATGTGGGGGCTAAGCACCTTCAGACAGCTCATCTCCATCTGCAAACGCCCCACCACACCCACAGTTTTTCACTCCCCCCCTCCTTTCCCCCTTCCCCCCTCCCCTTCCCATCCCCAATCCCACCTCCCCCTCGTCTCTCCCCCCTTCCCCCCCCCCTCCTCCCCCCCTTTCCCGTCTACACCCTACTTCCGCTTCACCATCTCACTTTGTACAGTCTCCGACCAGCAAATACCCATCCTATAAAGGGCTCGTTATTCCTAACTTTCATAATATAACTCGCTTTTTGCCTCAGCCGACCATCTTCGCACAGGTCCCCCGCCCCGCCCACCCCATCTTCCCTTGCTTATAAGGTTGAATGAAAACGGCGGTCCTTGTCCCTTCTCCTGTCCGCCCTTTGCATCATTTTCCTCTCCGCCGTTTATTCCTGCATCATTAAATGCCGCGCGCCGAAAAACGTGGCGGCGAGCAGCACGGCCACGATTCCCGCCACCACCAGGGTCGCGGCGGTGTAGCTTCCGCGTTCGCCTGGCTGCTTCCAGAGCGTGTCGTGCGAGTGGCGCGCCTTGCGGTGATCGTGCCCCTCGTGCCTCCCCATAACGCGCCGACGCTCCGCCGACGGTGGCATGTGACGGACCTCTGCACATGCGGGAAGGACGGTGCAAGGAAAAGAAAGTGAAATGACAGGAGCTTGTAGTGGTAGAATTGTGAGAGCGGTGGAGGTGGAGAGAAATTAGCGTGAATACAGGATGTTGAGGTCGGAAATGGTGCATAATGAAAACGAAATCATTTGCAGCATGAAGAGCTCGAGAGTGACACCTTTATTTGCCATTTTCCCGACACTGGAGTCGTGGGAGTGAGTTAATCCCACGAAGCGTGAACCTGTCTTCATCATACAAAAGGGTAAATAATGCGAATGGACTAATACTACAGGTCGGAAACCAATGGAGCTGGTACTCTCTAGTCACGACCAATGACAAATTTTGAAGTTCTCACATTGCAAGAACAGGCTTCACGCACATTTTTATACAAAAACACATTGCAAATGTGTTTGAAGGCGACGACATTGGAACAAGAAGAAGCTGAGCGACGTCTATGGTAACCGGGCAGTCTATTGTGTCTGATTCCCCAGTTCTACATATATCAATTTAAAAAGAAGTTCAGACTGCTTCCAGATTGTGGTACCGTGGGAGTGGGCAAAAATACTCCTGAAGTACACTTACACAGAAACATTCACACCCTACAGCTGTCCAAATATGGGGCGTGTGTCGTGTTTTACCTTCCACAAAGCCAGAACAGAACCATGTTCGCCTCCTCTATTGCTGGACAGTCCAGCAAGGCCAGAAAGTGCGGAAGCCCAATGACGGAAAATCAGGCGACGCAGGTTACCATGGCAACGATCAGCTTTGTCAGCTTTGACGAAAACTGTTCACCAGCCAGTGCAGTGCTGACCTGGTGGGAATCCACGTCACATAATCACTTGCATGCGTGGAGCAGTCTCGACATATCATTTCAACAAACCACCCCTTGCGTCAACCGTAACTCGTTCGTTCTACCAGAGGTCTTCAAACTCGTTGTGAGGCTGCATTTATCGAGTGTCTTCTTTTCCCGCCATACCTCTCTGGTTTTGTCAGCCGAGCAGTGTCATTTCATGTCACCAGCAAGACCCAGTTGACACCATCCAGCCAAGGGATGACTTGCGAGCAGTCGCGAGCCGTAAAGGAAGCTGTGAAATGGCGAAACGCTGGCGGCGAGCGCTTCGGCCTGCTGGTGGCCTAATTTCAGCATCCAGTTTCATCATCTGGAAAGATTATGCGGTCCGTCGCCTGGACGAGTTCGGACAGGGAGAACTATCCTGGGATTGGGGTATCTGGGATAAATGCGTCGGATAATCACACCTCGAGAATCCAAAATCTGTAACAGGCTTGAGACCGTCTAGATGGAGACAAGCAGGCAATCTGGATCAGGACCGCTGCCGATACGATGCATCAACCACGTTTCCATCAAATGCGCCTCAGTGCAGAAATCTCTCGAGTTTTATTCACGCGTTTTAGGCTTTCAGCCTGTAAAGCGTCCCGAGAAGTCTCTTAGCTTCGACGGTGCATGGTAAGGATTGAGGGGAAAGGTTAGACCGCTGCGTGAAATTCTCGTTCGTTTTCTTGGCGAAGTTGTTCATTGACAGCCGTCCTTGGCAGGTTATATAACTATGGAATCGGGCTTCACCTTCTAGGCGACAGCGTTTACCCTCCGATGCCACGAACCCTCACCCCTCGAGATAATCACATCGCGTTTCAGGCAAGTTACAGTCTCGCTTCGTCAAAACGCTCAACCAGCAAGACTCTGGCCTTTTGTTAAACGAGTTCACCACGACATATTTCTTAACACATTTGTTTTTCTCTTGCAGTCAGACAATCTTCTCGAAGTCGAGAGGAAGCTAAGTGCTTTGGCGATCTCGTTTCGTGAAGCAGCAGGTGGTGGAAGACGGGATAGTGGTAGATCAGATATTCTTTTTTGACCCTGACAACTACATGATTGAGGTCTGCAACTGCGACCTCCTTCCCATCATACCCATTGACCCTTTCGAGCAGTCCACGTCAGCTTCACCATCTCAACAGCTCAAACATCAAGAGCTACCAAGAAGGGTTTCAGGTACCCCGCCTAGAAGACTATCTGCTGGCTGTCTTCCTGAAAGCGCCACTGCTGCTGGAACACCAAGCCCATCTGGGATCCTAGTGCAGTCTGGAACCACGCCGCTCTGTGTATAGTCCAGTGGTGCTGGTTTATAATAAGGCATGTCAGTACAAACGAAGTGCCAGATCTTTTTTCTTTTTCCAAAACTGCACAACTATGGTAATAACGATTGTGGCTCCAGCAAAGACTTACCGTAAGAGCACAAAGGAACCTCCAGGGTTTAGCAACCTCCATGCATTGAGTGAGCAAGCAGTTCTGCCTTGTTGGGCTGAGAAAAGCCCTTAGGATCTTTTCAAGGCTAAGACTTTGAGTAGAGATGTTGTACTTGCGGAAGCGTATAGCAAGCTTTGTTGAACCACCTTGCACTAGTGTGTGAGAGCAAGATGAATTGATTCTAGCAAGGTAATACAAAGGCTTTGATTAGATTACAAGGAATACGAAAAGGTGCAATTAACTGTTTTGCTGTTGCGGTTCGATGCAGTGACGACTCGGGCAACTACTCAATACCGAGTCAGCTGTTTGTCCTTGCTGTCGCGCTGTATTTCGTCGAGTCAAAGGTCAGCGACCTTTGACCTTTGCGTAACCTCCAGCTGTTACGTTTTGTTAACCTCCTTGTTTGACTCGCTTGTTGCTTCACTGTAGTCTGCTTCGTTCGTGTTATTACTTCGATACATCAGAAGTGTCAACTATGTGTTTCCAACACTCCCCTTCGCTTCTGGAGTGTCATCACCCTTGTTGCTGGTGACGTGGCCTTGTCCAGTCAGCAGCATGCAGTACTCGAACTTCTGCTTCCCAAGTTTCTTGGTCAAGTAATCTGCTGCCATCTCGGACGTTGGACAGTAGGATAGCTCGAGTGTTCCTTTCTCGATCTTGTCCTTCACGAAGAAATACCGAAGGGCGATGTGCTTCGTTCGATTCGCGAACCCGCTCTTGTTCGCTATGCGAATTGCGGATTGATTGTCGCAGAATAGGGAGAAGCTGGGTAACTGAGCCATCTTTGTTTCTTCCAGTAGTTCGCGAAGGTATAATCCTTCCTTGGTGGCTGAGCAGAGTGCGATATGTTGGAAACAAGTGATTTATAACGCTTCTGTCGTATCGAAGCCTCGACATAAAATGGACCTGACTACAGCGAAGTAGCACTCGAGTCAACCTTCGGAGGTTGCGCGAAGGTCAAAGGTCTCCGACCTTTGACCTGGCGAAACGTACAGTGCGACAGCAAGGACACATAACTGACTCGTTACAGAACAGTTACCCGAGTCGGCACTGTATCGAACCGCAACAGCAAAAACAGTTAAAATAGAACTTTCAATATTCCTTTGTAATCATATTAAAGCCCTGTACTTCTCTGCTATTATCAACTTATCTTGTTCTCACAAACTAGCACAAGGAGGTTCACGACAACTCTTCATTAAACGCTTCCGCTATTACATCTCTACTTGAACACCCGATCTTAGTCCTGAAAAGATCCTACGGGCTTTTCTCAGCCCAACATGGTATGAGAGCGAACAGGGCAAAGATCATCTCCTTTTAAATTAATCTACAACAACGCAAGACAATGGC